ACCAGCAGACTGAAGGACAGCTTCATGCATCAGGCTGTCAGGAAGCTGAACGCACCACGCACCTCTGACCCCCAGACCCCCCCCAGCTCCCACATCCCCAGGTCCTTCCACTCCCCCCTCCCACTAACAAACTGGGACCAGAAAGCTTTTTGTCACTTTAATCAGTCTGAATAAGCTCTTTGCACTACAATCATTATATCTGCACTGTTTGTTTAATTCACTGGTTTGCACTCTATCTGCCATGTGCCTTGTGCTGCTTTATTTATTTTTTTACGTGACCTTATTTGTATATTTGTATAGTTGTATTTTATATTTAATCTGTATCTATCTGTATTTATGTTCTACTGTTAGTGTTATCTGTATGCACCAAGGGTCTGAGAGTAACGCAATTTCAATTCTCTGTATGTATGTGCTGTACATGTGGAAGAATTGACAATAAAGCAGACTTGACTTGACTTGACTTGAGTTACACACATACACACACAGAAAACGCGTTACACATGCATTACACACGAGAAACAGATTTGTTACACATTAGACACGCATTACACATGGGACACATGTTGGATATGCGCACACACACGAAACACAAATGAGTTACACGGACACACACGTTACACACAGGAAACTCTTGTTACACAGGACACACACACACACACACACACAGGAGGAAACACACTGACACGCGTTACACACGGGAAATGTGATGCACACAGACACGCATTACAAACAGGAAACAACTACACACATAATATATATGAACACAAACACGCACTACGCACTACACACGAACACACACAAGCATTACACACACACACACACACACACACACAACACACACACACACACACACACACACACACACACAGACACAGACACAGACACACACACACACAGACACACACAAGCATTACACACACACACACACACACACACACACACACAGACACAGACACAGACACACACACACACACACAGACACACACAAGCATTACACACACACAGACACAGACACACACACACACACACACAGGTGTGTTACCGTGGTGAGGAAGTACAGCTGGTTGCGGAGGCTGTTGAGCTGTTTGTGTAAGTACTGCAGTTCATTCTCTCGCACACGCAGCAGCACCTGCCACACACACATGATCAATGCAGCACTTGAGATGAAGAAACAAAACACAGCAGAGGTTTGATTTCAAGCAGAAACACTTCAAACATTATTTAAAGTAGGGCTGGGCGATACGGCCAAAAAAATTATCACCATAAAATTTTCCATATCGGTCGATATCGATAATCACGACAAATGTCAAATCTTTATTTCTTTGAAATTTAACGGCAGATTTTTGCTCCTGAATGAAAGTTGTAAAAACCAGGCAGTTAATTGTGGTTTTAAATGACTTTCCACACTTTCCAAACAAGTGAACGATTGAGGTAAAATACTGAGGTAGAATCTGCTGAAATTAAGTACATGTACAAGTAGTGTTCTTTTATTCATTTGTAGCGCTTGTTTTTTGACATTCCTTGACAAATAGGGCTAGTTATTACAAATTGATCTGATTCTGAATCACTAGCTCTTGATTAGTTTGTGGTTATATCATGTGCATTGCATGTGACAGGAACTCATTCCCATGTTACAGTGGGTGATATGCAGTCACTGTGTCACCTGTGTCTCACACCACGACCTCTCAGTGCTGCTGTCAGTCAGTCCGTCTGACCCTTGACCTGTGACCAGAGACCGAATGACCTTCACCTCCTCCGACAGACGCGCCTGCAGATCCTACACACACACACACACACATAAAATTAATGCTGCACGTTCACACACAACGAACCCATTCAGCCTCAGACTGCAAAACGAGGTAACTGCAAGATTAAAACACCAATAATATCCAGAATAAATAGATTCTGTGCATATGCAGGACTTTTAATTATAAGCAAGCCTGAAATACACCGGGACTCTTATTTTGAAGTGTCTGTGCTTCACTACACACAGCTGCGCCAGATGAAAGATCTCTTTCCACATGTGAGAATATTAATCTGCAGTATTCATTGATTGCCTGTAGAATGTGTGTTTTTCATATTTGTTTAATGATATAATAGACTTTTAAAGCGTAATAATGATGTAACGGCGTTCCGTCACTCCTTCTGTTTGATTTTAGCTGTGCTCAAACTGAAGTTCTTGTGGTGTGTCTGACCTGGTTGTCTCTCTTCAGCTGCTCCATCTGCATGTCTTTCTGGCTCATCAATCGGTCCGTGTCCAGGCTGTGCTGCTGCGCTCGGTTCAGCTCCACACACTTCTGAGAGTATCGCTCCGACAGAGACGCCAGCTCACGCCGCAGAGACGCCAGCTCCACCCTGCACACACACACACACACACATTATAACACACACATTATAACACACACACACACATTATCACACACACACACACACACACACACACACACACACACACACACACACAGAGAGAGAGAGACACAGACAGATGAACTCCAGATGCCACTCCTGCAGCGCACGCATGCGTGTGTGTGTGTACTCACTGTTGCGGTTTGTCGAGCATGTGAGAATCCTTCCCATGAGCATCTCCGAGTTGTGTGGTTTTCTCCAGCTCTTCTCTGTGTGCTTTCTGTAACGCCTCCATCACTGACAACACAAACACACTCCATTACACACGTTATAACATTTTGAAAATAGAAATATGAGATGAAATGATACGTTTAATTATGAAATTAAAACCGCCAGTAGCCGTCTTAATGAGTGAGTCACAGAAGCGTTCATTCAAATGATTCGTTCAAAACAGCTGATTCGTTCTGGAACTAGGTAAGAATGAGTCACTGAGTCACTCCAGCGGTTGGTTCAGTGAAAGTGTTCAGTGTGTTGCTCGAGACGCTGCGGCTGAACTGAACTGCTGGAAATACTGCTTAATATTGTACATTATAAATATAACCTTTGCCAACATATCTTCAATTCTGGGTGCCAGAGAAACATCGCTACTTGATAAAAGGGATTTGTGACATTAAAGCACTATGATTTGAGAGGCAAATGTCAGCGAATTTAAAGTGTGACATGAGACGAATCACTAACGGTTATTTTAATTTAGTGTCAGACTTAAGCTAAGTTTGAGAACAAATAAAGACGCTTGCTGTTTTCCACATTACTCTCTCTCTCTAGATATTTAGCTAATGTGTTCATACTTTTCCTTTTTGAAGTGGCGACACCCTGGCCTTGTAAATACTGAATACAGCAAATCTCCTTTATGAATGCAGTCAGTGTGGAAGTGTTTCTGATCTGGGCAGATTCTCTCGCTCTCTGTATTAGATATACATAGTCATGTTTTAATTTAGTCAGGCAAGTGTTTAGGTGTGTGACTGGAGTGGGAGTCATGCGAGAGTCATTTGACTGGAGCGGGAGTCATGAGAGAGTCATGTGACTGGAGCGGGAGTCATGAGAGTCATGTGACTGGAGAGCGGGAGTCATGAGAGTCATTTGACTAGAGCAGGAGTCATGAGAGAGTCATGTGACTGGAGCGGGAGTCATGAGAGAGTCAAGTGACTGGAGCGGGAGTCATGAGAGAGTCAAGTGACTGGAGCGGGAGTCATGAGAGAGTCAAGTGACTGGAGCGGGAGTCATGAGAGAGTCAAGTGACTGGAGCGGGAGTCATGAGAGAGTCATTTGACTGGAGCGGGAGTCATGAGAGAGTCATTTGACTGGAGCGGGAGTCATGAGAGTCATGTGACTGGAGTGGGAGTCATGCGAGAGTCATTTGACTAGAGCAGGAGTCATGAGAGAGTCATGTGACTGGAGCAGAGTCACGTGACTGGAGCGGGCGTCCTGAGAGAGTCACGTGACTGGAGCGGGAGTCGTGAGAGTCACGTGACTGGAGCGGGAGTCATGTGAGTGGAGCGGAGTCACGGGACTGGAGCGGGAGTAATGCGAGAGTCATTTGACTGGAGCGGAGACGCGCGACTGGAGCGGGAATCACGCGAGTGGAGCAGACACACGCGACTGGAGCGGGAGTCACGGGACTGGAGTGGAGACATGCGACTGGAGCGGAGTCACGGGACTGGAGTGGAGACATGCGACTGGAGCGGAGTCACTGGACTGGAGCGGAGACACGGGACTGGAGCGGAGTCATGTGACTGGAGAGCAGCCGGTGAAGCTCCGCCCACAGTGATGAGTGGCGTACCTCGTGCAGTGGTGTCGCTATCCTCCTGCAGCAGTGCGTCTCTGTCCCGCTCCAGCGCTCTGATCTGCTGCGTGTGCTGCTTCTCCAGCTCCTCCAGCGCCACCCTGTGCACACGCTCCATCTTCTGCAGCACCTCCCCGCAGCATGCCCCCCGCAGAGCCCCCCGCTGCTGCTGCCTCAGACACACCACCTGCAGGAGAGACAGAGAGTGGGGTAAAGCCTCCTGCAGGAACTGCACAGGAAGTGTGAAAACACACACACACACACACACACACAGAGAAGCACAAATGACCGTCAATTAGCATTATAAAACAGTCATTTGTTCTGACAATCGCCATGTTAGCCCTTATAACGCATAAGCCATTTTCAGTTTTGACCAGGTGGGCCGTGAGCTTATGAAACAGTCAAAAATGTACTGTATCTGATAAATAACTTCTCATTCATGAGTGAATGTGTAAACATTTCAACGTTTCGCATTCTACCATGTTTTCACCAAAAAAAATAAGAGATTGTTTCGAATTTTTAAATAATGCTTCAACTAAATCAAAACCAGCGTGATGCAGGAAAAAAAAAATCGACATTTATGATATATATTTGAATTTATCATATGCAATTCATAAAAAGGTATGAAAAATACAAAAATGTATTCAAATTCCTTTGAACTTTAACTCAATTTATGAAAACTACATACATAAAACAAATACTACACTACATATTTTACATATTTACATATGATGAAGGTTCAATTTTGCATGCTGCAATGGTTAATCAAAAAAATGTGTATGAGATATGTGAAAGAGGCTCAAAAAATTGTATAAATATATTTTGTAAAAGTATTTTTCAAATGTAGCTAACAACAGTGTATTTTTATATTGGAATATCCTAAAATGGTCTATGAGCTGCTCTACAGCAGAACTGAATTTTGTTTGCATCACTGACACACTATTTACTGGTCGACACTGTAAAGCTGCTTTGACACAACTGTCAAATTATCGTTTAAAGCGCTGTAGAAATAAAGGTGACTTGACTTGTAAAATTAAAGTTGGTATCAGAGTCAAAATTGACCCAAGTTATATCTCTGAAAGACACTTTCCCACAAATATCTAAAAAAAATAAATCAAGTGTATTTTGATAGTCTGGACGTGTTTTCATAGTAAAATTGGTGCGTTTTTAAGAATTCTTTCAGGTTTCTTCAGCTCAGAAACGCCCTGAATGCGCTATACAAGGGTTAATGGTGTCTCTGTGTTCTATTCAGTTCTCATAAAGTCATTCATGAGAGCATATAGACTTTGTTCACGCACTACCTCCCTCTCCAGCGCCTGATTGGCTGACGAGCCCATCAGCGGGAGTGACCTCGTCTCTTTGAGTGGCAGCCGCTCAAACTCCGCCCACTTCCTCTCAATCTCCTCCTCTATCCGTCTCTGTTCGGACAGCTGCCCCGCCCCCTTCCGTGACAGCACCGCCTCCCACTGGTTGTGGGCGTCGTCACACGGCCGCTCCTCCTGCCATTGGCTGTGCTCTCTCACCTGCCCCTCCCCCGACTCTCTCTGATTGGCGGAGGCAGGAGTAGAGGGCGTGGCTACAGGTGACAGCTCAACATAGTCAAATTTGCTGTGGGCGGGGTTTGCGGTGGCGGAGGAGGCCTCTGATTGGCTGCGGAGGCGGAGGGATGAGGAATGACGGGCGTTTTCTTTATCGCTGCTGCAGATGGGAAGCCTGAAACACACAAGCACAGATTCACCACGTCAACGACTCATTAGTGTCTCAACAGCACTGCAGCTAATGAGTGGAGTCGATTAACCTGCTGATCATTAGATCGTAATCATGCTCAGTGCTCTCCATCAAACTGACGTCTATTTAATCGACACGTGGCTCAAAATAAAAAGGCTCTGAAATAAAGCGGTGATTAGAAAAAGACACTGACTGAAGCAGAAAAATTACAGATTGAAAAATCAATCAAGAAATATAGTTCTATAGTAATAAAACCATTGTAAAATAAAAAAACAAAATGTAATAAATGATAATAATAGTAATAAGCATTATTATTCTTATGACTTAAACATTTTTATTTTATGAAATTTTGAAAAATAATAAATAGAAAATCATATTACTATTGTCGAAATAAAAAAATATTTAACAAAAACAATATCAGTTAAATATGTAAAAAGCAACAGTAATACGACTATTATACTGTAATATAAAAAGTGAGTATAATAAGTATTATTATGACTGCACTGTATTGACTATTTTGACAATAACAATAATGCTTATTTAAATATTTTTAGTTTATTAACTAACATTAATAGAACTATTATTCTTTAAAAATTAGTATATAATTAATAATTATTACTGTTATTAAATATATTTATATAATTATATTATAAAATGTTATAAATGTTACTATTGTATTGTAAAATAAAAATAAGTGTTTAACAATAATAATAGTTATTATTGAAAAAATTTTTTTTCGCAAACCATTGTTTTTGATAACCTTATTTTGCAGAACAAGAGGTAAAATTATACTAACATTCATGGCTGTCTTCATTTCTGTGCTGTCACTGTGTGAGTGTGTGTGTGTGTGTGTGTGAGTGTGTGCGCATGAGAGAGTGTGTGTGTGTGTGTGTGTGAGAGAGAGAGTGTGTGTGTGTGAGAGAGAGAGTGAGTGTGAGTGCGTGTGTGTGTGTGTGAGAGAGAGAGAGAGTGTGTGTGTGTGAGAGAGAGAGTGAGTGTGAGTGCGTGTGTGTGTGTGTGAGAGAGAGAGAGAGTGTGTGTGTGTGAGAGAGAGAGTGAGTGTGAGTGCGTGTGTGTGTGTGTGAGAGAGAGAGAGAGTGTGTGTGTGTGAGAGAGAGAGTGAGTGTGAGTGCGTGTGTGTGTGTGTGAGAGAGAGAGAGAGTGTGTGTGTGTGAGAGAGAGAGTGAGTGTGAGTGCGTGTGTGTGTGTGTGAGAGAGAGAGAGAGTGTGTGTGTGTGAGAGAGAGAGTGAGTGTGAGTGCGTGTGTGTGTGTGTGAGAGAGAGAGAGAGTGTGTGTGTGTGAGAGAGAGAGTGAGTGTGAGTGCGTGTGTGTGTGTGTGAGAGAGAGAGAGAGTGTGTGTGTGTGAGAGAGAGAGTGAGTGTGAGTGCGTGTGTGTGTGTGTGAGAGAGAGAGAGAGTGTGTGTGTGTGAGAGAGAGAGTGAGTGTGAGTGCGTGTGTGTGTGTGTGAGAGAGAGAGAGAGTGTGTGTGTGTGAGAGAGAGAGTGAGTGTGAGTGCGTGTGTGTGTGTGTGAGAGAGAGAGAGAGTGTGTGTGTGTGAGAGAGAGAGTGAGTGTGAGTGCGTGTGTGTGTGTGTGAGAGAGAGAGTGAGTGTGAGTGCGTGTGTGTGTGTGTGTGAGAGAGAGAGTGAGTGCGTGTGTGAGTGCGTGTGTGTGTGCGTGCGTTAGGGCTGAACGATTTTGGAAAATAATCTAATTGCGATATTTTTTTTTACCAATATTGTGTAAGGATAAAAGAAATTAAGATACTTCTGAGACAGACAATACACACACAGTGCATTAACATACAGACATCTGTTTCTGCATCTCACTGAGAGAAAATGCGGGAAAACGTCTCTCACATATGCATCAGTTCCGATACTTTGATCTCCTGAGAAACAGACAATACACTGGCATCTTCAAGAAACCCCACAGAGTGGTGGTGCAGGAAACGCCTCTCTCACATATGCATGAGTGCCTTTTCATCTGCTCCCTCCACTGGATTCACTCAGAATGGTCAATAGTATAATGTTCTAAATGAATGCAAATTAAGATTTACAGTCATGTTTGGTTTAATTTGAATAGTGTCAGGGTGAGTGGTACAATGGTCTTAATCTTGCAAAAGTAGACTAAAAGATAATACAGATCCTAAGAGTTAAGAGATACTTTGATTACTGTAGAGGGTCATTCCATGCAAATTACCTTCTGTTCCCATTGAGGTGCAAACCACCCAGGTCTGAATGCAAATTCCAATTGTTTGTACATGCCTCCATTTGGGGGATGTTTTATCTTGGTTTTGTATTTAAAGGATTTCAGCAAAAGTGTCGGGGCCTTCTGTAGCCGGAATGAGCCCGTGGTATGAAGTGTGTTCACAAACTTCATACTATATATTTTTCTAAAAGTCAGGTATGCATCTTACTCTTAGACTCATCTTTGAGAATTTGATGTCTTGTATTGATTTGATATCTTTGAATTGGCTGTATAATTGGCATAATACATATTTACCTGACTGATAATAAATTGTTACATTTGA